TAAGAGCAGCACCCTTAATATGTTCTTCACATATAAAACATATATTACGTGTTTCTTATATATATATAAATATATATATATAAACGGAGAAAAACATACATCAATGAACTCCACTTGTACACAGATGTATGCATGCGTGCATGCATATACTGCACGCGCCTATAAGAAGCCCCAAAGTCAAGAACTTTACAAAACTTATCTGCTGACGCAGAGGGGGTTCTTGTGCCTCCGGAATAAAACACGTGTGCTGCTACTGTTCTGCTGCAGCACATATTGTTGCTGCAGCAATATTTTATGAATATATCTTGTTTTTATATTCACTTATTTCTCTATATTTCTCATCCCCACGGAGAAGAAGTCCAAGCTTTTCCTTCTTCCTCTGTATTATTATCACCACCCTTCAACCCATTTGCATTCCACGACAGAGAGAAGAAACTTTTCTCGCCGCATTGCCACTGCCCCCCCCCGCTGCTGCAGCGTGTCAGTTCATCTGAGTCGCATCTGCGTGCAGCGAAGAAGCAGTCGGGGCCCCCCTCGCGGGGCCCCCCTTCTTCCCGCCCTTCGGTGTACAGCTCCTCCAGCCCCGGTGGCACCGTCACCCCTGTTGTGGGGGCCCCCCAAGGCGAGCTGTGCTGCAGATGTACAGAAGAATAAGATTTAATAAAGGCCCCAAACGCCTGCTGTACACCTAACAAGGCCTCAGTTTTCAGTGCTGGCTCTGTGCTGCGTCTGCAGTGAAAAGAGGCACGGGCTGCTCGCGGTAGTGCTTGTGTTTGTGGTTGGGTTTGTTTTGGTTTTGTTCCTACAAGCCCTGAGCCCTCAAATGATAATGTTGAGTTGTCTGTACACCCCGATAAACAAGTGCCAGGCACCGGATCGGCGAATCCACCCGCTGCTGCTGCTGCTGGTGGCGGTGGTGGTGTTGGTGCTGCTGCTGCTGCTGAGGTTGCTGCTGCTCCCGCTGCTGCTGCTGCTCCTGCTGCTGCTGCTGGGGGAGGTGTACAGAAGTTATGCTCTGCCGATACGTTCCACATGGGGGCTGAGGAGAGGCTGTTGCTGCTGCCTTGTGAAATACACCGCGGCGACTCAGACGCAGGCGACTGCAGTATATCTGTAGAAAGATCTGAGCTTGTAGAGCCCTGGGTATCCCATCGTTTTAATGTATGTACTTCAGCTATAAGAGAATCTAATGAAGCAACCCGAATGCTAGAGCGGCCCTCAGGAGATAGAATGTTGCCGCATATTACCTGGCGCAGACGGCACAGAGGGGCCTCGCTAGGCTCCTTCAGCTCCCCCACAGACTCACCTTCACCCCCTGCGGGCGTTCCCGTTGATGCTCCGGTTGATGCTGTGCCTGCTGCTGCTGCTGCTGCTGCAGCTGCAGCTGCAGCGGCAGCTGCTGCTGCGCGCTCCTTACGCTGAGCGCCGCTGCGGCCAGAAATCCGTGACTGCTGCTGCAGCTGCTTCTTTCGCTCCAAGTGGGGCGGCAGGCTGAAACGACACGGACACAGAAAAGGAAAAACAAGCAGAAAAGAAAAACACAACGTAACGTCCAGACAAAGCAAGCCAGATAAACCCATCAGCAGCAGCAGCAGCAGCACATGAACGAAAAGAGGTGGTGGGGGCTCACAGACAGAGATAATTTATTAGTGCTGATGGACAGACAGCAATGATAGCTATAGAAAGGTAGATAGACAGAAGCAGATAGAGACAGGAAGGCACAGAGAAAGGAGAAACAAAGAAAGCCAACACGCTGAGACTGCCACAGACAAGTGGCTCACAAGAAGCTACAGGGGAGAAATAGACTCAAGTGCCACACAGAGAGCAAAGACGGACGGGAGCAGAGATACATGGAAACACACACACACACACGCAGAGAGAGAGACACACCCACAAAGAGAGAGATACGCGAAGGTATACAGACAGGAGGACGGAGAGAGATACAGACAGAGAAACAGGCAGGCACAGGGAGAGGGAGAGCGCGGATGAACACAGACCCGACAGCCAGAAGCTATGAGACGGAGAAGCAGGTATATATATATATATATATATATATATATATATATATATATATATATATATATATATATATATATATATATATCCTACTTCTCTGGCCTTAGGTCTGCGTCTCCATGTGCATGTCGGCATAGTTCTCCGCTATAGCAGCATCCCTGTCTCCAGTATTTGCATATAGTTGTTTTAAATACCCCCACAGTAGACTGGAGTTCATGTTCCCCATGAGCGAAGTTGCAGTCATCATTTTCACATTTTCCTTTGAGCCAATACTTACATAAAGATGTTTTTCTTAATTCTAATTTCTTCTGTAGCTCCGTCAGGTTGTGTGCATAGTTGCAGTTCTCTCGATTGGGGCAAACACCCAGACGAAAGTAACTTAAACACATCAGGTTCCTATACATATAAACACACCACAACACACAAACACACATATACACACTACCTACACCGAAATTCTAGCTAGCTAGGTCAGCTACATGATGGATAGCTAGCTCGCCAGCTAGGTGGTGGGGAAGCTAGGTGGGGAGCTGGGCAGATGGGCAGCTGGCTAGCTTTCATCGGATAGATGGAGAGGTGGACAGGTCGACAGCTAGATAGCTGGCTAGCTGGGTAGCTGGCTAGCTGGCTATACAGCTAGGCAGCAGAGGGAATAGACACACCGGAGCATAGAAAAGATGAAAAGCAGCACACAGATGCCGCCCATCCCGCAGATCGACAAAAACGTCGACAGGGATAGACGGACAGGGGAAGGGAGGGGGGGAACCGGGGGGACGCACAAACAGACAAAAGAGGAGGGGGAAAAAGGACAGGGAGGGAGGTAAAGGGGGGAGGGAGAGGCAGACCAGTACCCTGGCCTTGCCTCTCGGCATGTATGAGTTAAGGGATTAGGGTTTAGGGTTTAGGGTTTAGGGTTGTTAAGGGTGTAGGGGTTAGCACCGTTTAGGAAATACGAGTTTGCGCTGGAGTCCTCCGTGGGCTTGTAGGTGCAGCATCGTAACCAGGGCAGTCTGCAGGGCCAGGTGGCTGTCTGACTCTCCGTTTGCTGCTGCTGCTGCTCTGTTTGCTGCTGAATTCTTCTCTCCCTGGCGCCCTCGTCCTGATCCGTGCTTAGAAGACCCCACACCCTCTGCATACGCACGTCTCCCAGAGGAGTGCTGCTGCTGCTGCTGCTGCTGCTGTTGTTGTTGTTGCGGTTGCTGCTGCGGCTGCTGCTGACCCGAACCACTCCTGCTAAGGGCCCCTTGAGCAGCAAAGGTCTGTTGCCCTTCCTCCTTGTGGCTATGCTGACCCTGCTGCTGCTCTGTCGTTTGCTGCAGCAGCTGCCCCAGCAGCACGTCCTGCTGCTGCTGCTGCTGCACTTGTTGCACTTGTTGCTGCACCTGCTGTTGCGACCCTGCAGGCCTCGAAAGCAGCAGCTCCTCTACGTCTGGGAGTCTCCGCGATCGTGCGGGTTCCATTGCCAGTGCTTTCTCCCCCCCACAGCAGGTGAGAGGAGTTCCGTCGGCTGTTGCTGCTGCTACCGCAGCAGCAGCTGCTGCTGCTGCCGCTGCTGCGACCTGCCCCGTCGCTGCCTGAACGCCTCCGCACAGGAGGCGCTGCTCAGTGGCATCGTCCCCTACCCTGCAGGACACCATTGCTGCAGCAGCAGCAGCAGCAAGTGTGTTGCTGCTGCTGCTGCCACTGCTGCTGGTGGTTGTGCTGCAGTGGCTGCTGCTGGTGCTGCTGCTGCCGTCTCCTGCTGCGCAGTCATCCCACGCTGCAGTGTGGAGACCCCCGTCTGTTGGCGCGAACTCCCCGTCTGAGGGGATGAGAAAAACGTGTTTAAAGCTCTCCATGATGGTGCCTGTGTTTACGAAGCAACCCGTCACAGACAGCAGCAATAACAAGGGCAGCAGCAGCAGCAGCAGCAGCGAGCGCAGCAGCAAACGCACTCCGCTTTCAACAGAATATCCGCCGCTATGCCGCCTCACAACATACAAAATCAAAACAAACCGAGCAGAGCACAAAGGCCGTCTAGCTCGGAACAAAATCCAGCGGGAGAGAGACGGAAGGGCAGGCAGGTGTGCAGCAGCAGCAGCAGCAGAAGCAGATAGATGTTCCGTTCTGCTTCTGCTGCTGTTGAAGCGCTCGCCACCGCCACCGAGACGACGACAGCCTGAAGCTAAAAAACCTCGTCTCGAAAGCTCCGTCTCCCAACCCACCTCCCGTTACTGCTGCTGCGGCTACTTCTGCTGCTGCTGCTGCTGCTGCTGCTGCTGCTGTTGGTTTTGCTGCAGCTGCAGTTTCCCCTGCGCGTCTCTACTTATGAGGGTTTGCTGCTGCACCTGATACAGGCGAGAGCACGTTGTGATCGTTGGCTTAAACAGTGAAGACGTCCCTCAGAATAAAAACCTAAGATAGGTGGAGCTGCTCTCGCAATAAAAAACCCAACAGATGAAAGGGTAGACATAAAAGAGAGACAGCCACCACCCTGTATAGTCAGAGCCAGCCGACTGCTTCCTAGGAAACAAGAGGAGACAGAAAGAAAAGACAGAAAGAACAGCAAACAACAATAGTATAGATAAGAGTAAGATAAAGAGAAAGAAAATATCTGCTGTCTGATGGTGCGCTTATTAGTATTCCTTGCATAAGAAACACCAAGAAACACCCAATGGGGCAGTGTGGAGCTCAAACGTCTCTACACAAAGTCAATGCGCGGCCGCCGCTATTGCTGCTGCTGCTGCTGCTTCTGCGGGCAGCTGCTGCCGTCGCTGCTGCTGCTGCTGCTGCTGCTACTGCTGCTGCTGCTGCTGCTACTGCTGCTGCTTATGTGTTGGTGGTGTGACAGACGCAAGTGGACCCGAAGGTACCCTCGCTCTGTAGTTCGGCTAAGTGCTGCCGCCTTATAAAATCCACTCTTCTCGAGATGTGGCTGTGGTATCTTTTATGTCTCCAACGCCTCTCCTATTTGTCTTATGAATAGACAAAGGCGGGCACACTCGTTAATCTCAGTCTCTGCGGGTGCTGTGTATCCTCTCAAAAAACGAGACAGAAGAAAAGCAGTAGGAAATCATTATTTCTGCCCCCTGCATGCAGCAAGGAGAAATTAAACCCCCTAGCGACAGCAAACAGAAGCACAGTAACAGATACAGAGAGGGAGAGAAAAAGAGAGAGAGAAAGAGAGTGAGGCGAGCCGCCCCCGTCCGGTGTCTACGAAGAAGACAGGAAGACGGAGAGAGAAGGGTGAGGCAGAAGACCCAAAACAAGATAAAAGAAGAAAAGAAACAATTGCATCAATGCAGCTGCAGTATTGTAGTGAAAGAAAAAGAGAAATGAGCAACTAAAAACAACCACCAACAACTGAAGCAGACAGGAGGAGTGTGTCTGCCCATGGGAACTACAGACACCACGGCAGTTGCTGATCCTACGCATAAGCCGTTGCTATAAAAGGAGGCAGAAGTTGTTTTTTTTTAATATTAAAAAGATATTTAACCAAACAAAACAAACAAACAACAAACAAAGCGAACAACAATACCCTCTGTCCTCACCACAGCACCGCACCAGACCAGTGGAGGTTTGCTCGGCTCGTGCTTCGATGCCATGGGAGAGCCAGGGAGAGCCGTGGGAGACGGGGTATCTGCGGGGGTGGTGTATGCATCTTCTTCGCTTTATAAATATAGTTTTATCTATAAAACAATTAATTTATTTAAATTAATTAACATATATTTTAGTTTTAATCAAAAATATCTCCCAATATTGCGATCCCTACACATACACCCCAGGTCACCGCGAAGCGGCTACCCCAACGCCCAGCAGCGTTGCTGCTTTCTGCGTGGGCATCACACAAAGGAAGAAGAAGACAGATTAATTTATTCATTTATACAGAGGAAGGTGTGCAGGGGTGTAATTCTCTTCTTCTCTGCCACAGGGGGGGTGCAGCGCCCCCCTAAGAAGGGGAAGGAGACAAGAGAAAAGCAAGCGAGAGACTAGCTCTCATAAAAAACGAGAGACAAGCAGCAGACACAACAAGCATAAAAAAAAACACTCGAAATATGAATTTAATTCAAATAAGTTGCATATACAGCGGAAAGGCGGACGGGACT